CTGGAACAAAGCAGAACCCGATAGAATGCGGGCTCTCAGGAGAATAATCAAACAATGCACAGCTTTTTTCCAATAAGAACTGGCTGTATTGCTGTTGTGACAGGCGAGGTGAAACATTTGCATAATAATAAATCTGTGGAGTTGTTTACATCCTTCAGGGGAATTAACTTCACACAGAATGACCACATCGTATCCGCCGGACGACAGCAAGGTTGCTGGGGAATGGTCCAGACCTGGCTCAGTTTTCTCTGTATCTTCATATAATCCCTGACTGACTGTGATGTTTGGACAGGGACTGTGCTGAGGCCAGACCATCTGTGGCTCCCGTCAGGCGGCACAATCACATTCACTTTGCGGTAGACAAACCCGATAAGAATATTTTGTCCCAATCTTCCAAACAAAACAATGTGTTTGAAAATGAAGGAAGTCACATGGGTAAAAGTTTACAATAGAAACACACCACTTACTGCTACTGAGGAGAGACATCTATGTATCATTATATAGTGGAATAAAGTAGTAAAAGATTCTTTTTATTTGAAATTGATCATAATGCTTTGTGTGCTGAGGAATCCTGGATGCAGACATTAACGAGGTGAGAGATTCCTCTGGCATCTGGGTAAATCTAAATCTAGAACCGGATGGCTCTCATCCTGTGCGGTTAGGTCACACCTTCTGCGAGTCTTCTGCGTTTGTCTAGTTGCCTTTTTAACCCCCAGCCTCCCAACAAGGCGTGCCATTAGCACCTGCTTCCCCCTCTCACCGTTTAACTCGCTCTCCATGTGAAGCCCTGACATGAAGCCAGCATCACAAACTGAGCACATCCAGCTCACTTCCATAATCTTCTAGAATTCTATCGGTGTTTTTGATCAATAGCCATGTCTACACGGCCACAACATTCGGATTAAAAGTTAGACATTAATACAAATGCTTGATGTTAACATTCCAGTGCAAACTAAACAGTGAACATTGAACACTGAGCGTCAGACTCTTGTTAAAATGTTTTATTCCATTCAAATGTGTCAGTCATGTAAATGTACATCATAATTGGAATGACTTTATAGCTAATTCTGATCAGAATTGTGACCCAACTAATTAAAATGTGTGCATGGGAAGGTGGCTAATGAGGCATCCGTTCAGCTTCCTGCTTCAAAAAAGTTTACAAGCTTTCACCCATACCTGTCTAATAAAACATTCAAAGAATGTATTAAGCAGTCCTCAAGACAAAACATTAAGAGAGAGGGCTTTCTCTAAGACTGTGAAGGGGGGAAAATTCCAATGAGACAAAAAAGAACCTTTGAAATTGATTCAAATCCCCAAAGAGAAATGAGCAAATTGATAATACATGTATTGCTTTGCATCACACATCTAAACCACTGGTTCCCGACCCCGGTCCTCCAGACATGCTAGCCTTCATGCTTTCCAAGCTGGAGCCCACTGGAGCAACGCCTGAGGAACAGCACCACGCCACACCTCGGGATGAGACAAGAAATGAACGAAAGCGTGCCATTTCCCACTAATTTTAGCTGAAAATGTTGCCGACCTCTCATGTGACGCTCTAAATAAATTTCATTTCGACCTTTTGTGGACAGCAGCGAGACCGTGGCGGGGTTCAGACGTTGCTTATGGATTCTGATAGCGTTAGCTACACAGCTGAAGGCAGACCTGTGATCAAACAAAGCTTTAATTAGGCCGGTTGAAAGCCCCACGGAAAGGAAACCCCTGTTTGTTCTAGCTTGTTGATCTTCATTTCTGCGCCCGGCGCCTGGGTTTGGCTCACCCTAGATGTCGGGCTCTGTATCGCAAAGGCAAATATCAAAAGCAAGCCGAGGCTCAGAAATATTTCTGATGCTGCGGAGAGCGAGCAAGCAAACAGAGATATGTGGAGTCCACATAAGAGGCTGTTGAGGATCTATTCCTGGAGGATCATGAAGTCTTGTTGTTTGTTTGTGTGTCTGTGTGAATCGTTCTTTTTTTTTTTTGCATCAGCCACCTAGCCCACGCACTTCTACTTTTACATTTGTGCAGACATTACACTCCCACACATGGCTTCACATACATATCCAGTGGACGCCGTCCATATGATATTAAGATTTTTCCAATATCAAAAAGTCAGTCTCTACATTTTAAAGTGTAGCTGCGGGTTTTAAAACCTGATTTATTGAAAAAGTCCCAACATTTGAAGAAAAAATGAGAATAGATAAACTAGTCTCCTATCCTCCTAACATGGAAAAAATATCAAATTGAATTCATGCTATAATTCATGATGCCGTTACTAATATTTCTTATCTTTAAGTCGATGGCAGCAACTCAAACAAACAAACAAAACATCAGATGAGGCAATGTTTGCAACCGGGCAGTATCCCCTCTTTTTTTTACACTTTAAACTGAAAAACCTTCTAAAACTGGTCAGTTGCTGTTTTTTTTTTTTTTTTTTTTTTGGAGAGAAGTGATTTACTATTCTTGCCTAATATAGAATTCCAGCCGCACGACTAGCCTCAGTTTTCTTTGTTGTCTTTTCTGTCTCAATGCACCAAATGTTTTCAGCTGGTGAGCGGCACCCCAACTCAGCCATGTTTCTTATCTTCTAAGGCAAAAACGATATCATTTTTTTAATACTTTAATGCATTTTATATAGAGCCTCAACTTCACTGGTATCAAGAATTGCCACGGATGAGCCAGGACTCTCAAACATCCTCCACCATTAAGGCGTCAGGAGGACATTTTATCCTCCGCTGGCCAGTGGTCAGCTCAGGGGTTGCTCCTGCTTGCTTCCATCTATTTGAAATACTTCACTGTCGCTGTGTGCTTTCAGCTACTTAGCCAATAATGCCAAAGCGACTGGAGTTATTGAAGCAAAACACAGTGTGTTTGATCTCTTTTGGGTTTGGAAAGTCTCAGACATTCTCTTCCCGTCGCTGTACTGTCAGCTCCGGTGACTTTTCATCTAACAAACAAACACCGTATTTAACAGAAGAGTACAAATGGATAATAACAACAATAATAATACAAAATTGTAAAATTGTATTGGAGTATGTGTCGGTGCAAATTAAAGTCTAAAATGTGATGTGACTTTATCTGAAACTGATATTTTAAAGCTTGGCGTCTTGTAGAATAACTGACTTCAGCTTCCACATGGAACCTAAAGGTTTCCACCAACATTCAAATTCAGGTTTTGGGTTTTTGGCTGTTTTTGGTGTTATGAGTCTGGTTCAGCAGTGTGTAGGTTCTGTTCCCTGGCCATTGTTTTGTTAGTACGTTTGACGTCCTGGGAGTAGCAGTGGGCTGGGGGAGTCATGAGACTAGCGGACGAGGTCCTACAACAGAAAAGGTTTTTTTCTGCATGCCCCTTGAGCCCCAGATGTGCTAAACTCCGGGATTTCCGCTTCGAAAAGAGACATGACTTCACCTCGAGGGTCGGTTGCCATGGCAACCGACCACGAGAACATCACCTGCCATCAAATTTCCTTTAGCACAAACCAAATTTCTCTTTCACGTCTCTCATTCTGAGCCTTGAGGTGTCGTGTGCTCTCTCTCTTTTTTTTTTTTCCGGGTGCAAACCCATACAGCTGATAAATCAGGTGGACGCTGACCTGTGAACTTTGGCGTCTCCTCTCAGATCAGGGATAAAAAAAAGTTGCTGATCAGTGTTTAAAGCACTTGCGAACTCATAAAACTGAAAGAGGGAGCGCATTTTTCTATGAATCTCCATATACTTGGGGAGCAGATTGCAAATGCAGATCAAAACACATTGAGACTCATCGGGGAGTTTTACCATGTGCTGTAAATACGTTCAAACAGATTTCATGTGAATTCTTCTACAGTAAAACTCACACCAATCATTGTGTAGCACATCAAAACATATAGAGTCATGTACAGGCGCCAAATGAGGCCTAAAACCTTTGGATTGTCTTAAAATACTCCGGCTCCCCAGCAGATCCGAGCCCTGTAGCTCAACTCTGAGAAACAGCCTCAGCAGCTCATGTACATGCTTCTGGAAGGTGTCTTTGCCCAAATCCTTAAAAGGACAAACTGCTTTCTCTGTGTCTGTGAGTAATATGTGGATTCTCTGAATGCAACGCTGTGCAAGCGCGAGTGTGTGTGTGTGTGTGTGTGTGTGTGTGTGTGTGTGTGTGTTATGTTCGGATATAGCCCATCGCATTGGGAAAACGGACTGCTTCTGCCTGGCTGTCTCTTTGTGCTCAGCCTGTCGGGCGTGTTGCCCACCTATTACGGCGAGGCTGTCACGTTCACCGTCACGACTCATCCGCTATGGAAATGGAAACACACCTCATGAATGGACATGTCAAAAGACCAATTAGATGAGGTTAAGCGAGTGACAAGTGTGGTGGCGAGAAAATCCAACTGTGTCTTTAATTAGCTCTGTGGCAAAAGAAACGGGAGCGTTTCAGTCTTTGACTCATTATCCACCGAATACTTTCACGTTAAGAAAGACGGCTGCATTTCTTCAGTTAAATGGTTGTGAATAATAAATAAATAACATCCCATAACGTAACAGTCAGGTGTGGTTAGTTACAGTCCACTTAAAGCCATTAGTGAGCCTCATTACTCACTTCTCTAATTAAAATGGACTTAGTAGCAAATCAATGATAGGTTACTTTATGAACTGATTATGTTGATTCAACAAATATATATGAACAACATATTTAGTGGTATTCACGGAATATATTCGAATCTTGCTCGTTATATTGAACGTAGAGTAAACTGAATATAAAATTGTGTATTTGGGTGGTACTTTTCAATGAATGCACCAAATTAAATGGCAATAATAAATAGTAAAGTTCTAATTAGACGTATTGTTCACCTCTTCATGAGCCCTTTGCTGAAGAAATTGAAAAAAAGAAAAAACAATCTCGAATAGAACACGAACTGCAAAATACACCTGCGGATATCACTTTTGTTTTAATTAGCACCTTCAGTTTGGTGTTGCAAAGAATCAAATGAGCCAACCAAGACTGATCAGCACACAGTGAAATGAACAACTAAACGGATAAAAGAGTCATTCGAATCGCTGTGGACGAAAACATGAAAACAAAAACAGAAAACAATTGCTTTTTTTTCTCTTGGTTGGGGACGATCCTGTGTGGGAAAACAATGGCAAAAAGGCCATTTATGTGCTATGATAACCTTTATAACAGAGAACACTGTATTTACGCTGACCCCTCTAGTCCTTCTAATGGTTGCTTTCAATACTGGAAGCCTAATGGCTTCAACCTTTACATAAAGTTACATCATCTGAGCACCCCAGCACCTGCAGGCCAATCCTTGGCCAGCATCAATATAGCCGGCAGGAAAATCAAGCGCAGTGTGCACAGAAATTCCTCAACAAAACCCATAACGCTAACTGAACAAGACTGGCAAACGGGCACAACTGTTTATGTGATGCTGCGAACCTTTCTGCGATGTTTTCTAGTAACATAGAAAAAGGAGTAGTGTCTCTCATCGTGACCAAAAAGTGACATTTACATGGGATTTTAGCACAAGTGTGTAAAGGGTAAAGTATGGAGCACTGCATTCAGCACAGCCAGTATCATTACCGCTGTCAGTTTACCTTTATAACAAGAGTTTTGCTGGATTTTGGGTGCTTGTCATACAGTAATTGGTGCCCTCCCTTACAAAAGTGAGAGATATCCCACTGTCCAACCCTTAAATAATGGCTCGCCGGCTAGGTCTGAAAGTTTCCCTGGTTATTTCTGAGTGAGTGGAGGAGTGTGAGGTCAGAATAGCTGCGGCGGCTGGTGTGATTAGCTGTAACAGACGAGGAGAGACTGCTGTGGCTGAGGCCCCTCACCTCTGTACTGGGGCCGGAGGGTGCGGTTGTTGGGGCAGTCGCGGCCCTGCTTGCTGAAGTTGATGTTGGTCCGGATGCAGCGCTGCAGCAGCGGCTGGGCGGGCCGCGTGTTGTCGCTCATGCTCAGGAATATCTTGTAGGGCTCGTTCTGGCTGAGGAGGCGAAGGGAGTGCATCTGTAGACACATAAAACAGTCCAGGTTCATTTAGCCGCCGTGCAGAACAATTCAAAACTGACCTCCTGGGAGTCCAGCTTTTATCTGCTGTGTTTCTGCTCTGTTCCAGATCTGTGGACCAGTAGGAGCTTATAAGTTTAATAACTAGACTTTGTCCCGGTACAGGTAGTTCTTCTTCATAGAGTCTCAGTGGGTTTATCTTTAGATTTTAAATGTCTGTTTAGAGATTTAATTAAATGTTTTTGTTATCTTGTTCTGAGGGTCCAAATGACCTATTTACAACATATTAATTCACCAATAAGAACATGATTTCTGTAAAATGTCTAAAAGCATTTTAGATTTCAAACAGTAATGTCTGATAGCGTCTGCTATGAGGCCAAGAGGTCAAAGGTCAAAGAAAGAAGAAGGATTCTGGTACAGAGAAGCAGAAATGCAGGCTAAAAGAGGGAATCCGAGTTTTGGGTGCACAGTCATGATTAAAAGTGAGGCTGTAAATGTTTGACTTGACTCCAGGATCACTTTTAATGGACAATCAAAAAATTGACCTTTTAGGTGCACCATTTATATGTCGAATAATTTACTGTCAATGTGCTGTGAGAATGCAAAAGAGGTCAGTTCTGGGGTGGAAATTGAGCCTTACATTTGCGACTTGTAGCTTCCCTTTCATGAGCTCCTCATAGCACTTTCACATAGGGATCTGGGAATCTGCCAGAAAGGCTCTGGGTCTATCACAGACCCTCCTGCCAGGAATATCCCCGCTGGAAAATGTCCAAACGGCATCCTAATCAGATTCTCCAAACAGGTTCCTTTCTTTGCCAAGAAGCAGCAGTTCGGACGCGGCGGGGGGACTTGGGCTCTGCGGCTCATTTCTGAGGGCCACGGCTCCGTCAGAAGAAACTCTCCTGAATCTGAATCATGCAGCCGTCACCTCAGAGGAAGGCCCTGCCTCCAGGACAGAGACTTGTTACCCATGCAAGGGGGTGCATAGCTCTAAAATACGTGGTTGTTTCGCAATCACTAACATTCCAGGCCGCTTTTACCTTGGTTTGGCCAACTTGAGGGGACCTATCCCGCAGAAAAATCTTCAGATATGGTAATCGTTTACGGTAAATCGTCACATTTGAACTGGATCTGTGTCACTTTAGGTTTCCATTCAGTTAACATCATCTTTTCTCGAAGGTTGAATGACTGTATTGATGCCAAAATGCGTCCGGGGCCTTTGAAAAGGAGGAATTCATTTTGCATCGGCACTCAAAAACTCCACCATAACACAACCCTGCTCGAAAGCAATTTTTGGGGGATTTCTGTGTGCAAATCTGCCATTTAGCGAGAAATCCAGCGTGCATAGATGACTTCACAGGTCCGGCTCAGAAAAAAGCAATTCAACCACACCTTCAGATCCCGATGCTTTTGCTGTATTAAAAATGTGTGCTCTGCGTTTTCTGCTTTGATATTAACAGCAGTTTTATCAATTCTAAAGTTAGAAACAACTAAACATCTGATAACGCTGCACAAGTACATAGTCTGACGTTTGACATCCCCACTAATCTGTTGTTTCTGTGCACAGGAGCAACACAAAAACAATCCTTTGCGTATCAATGGAACATTGGTCCTATAGGAAACATTAGCTTCCACAAATAGAGACAAAAAAAGAGTGACAATTTCTTTGTCATTTGATCAACCTGGGGCAGTAAGATGGGATTTTTTTCCCCTTGTCCTGTCCAGCATCATGGTTCTATAACTCATTGTTATGCCAAACAATTTTTTATATTCAATGGAAGTTTTAACAATCTTTTTTCTGCCCAACTCCTGATGACTTATTTGTTGCTGGTGTGTGATACAAAGAGGCAAACCTAACTGAAAAGAGCTGATCCAGTTTAGGAAGGTGGTGATGTAAAAACGAAGGCCACAAAAGTAATTCCCCTAATTACCAGAGACACTGTGGCCTACCATCCACAGCCTTTCACCAATAGGACCCCAGGAAACTGTGTGAGAAAAGGTCATTTTAAGTCTCCCAATGAGCACGCTGAGACGAAAAGCGTAGGTTGCTGTGATCAAATGAACCAATCGAATGAGAACATCCCGAAATCTATGCCAAGGGGGGAAAAAAGAGAAAGATGTGGGAACATTTCAAACGAGTTTGACTTAGTGTCTATAGAGAAAAACCTTACATCTGTAGTTTAAAGGGTTCTAAGTTACTATTGCTTGAATTGTGGGACTCTGAGCTGTATTTAATTGTTTCTTTTAAATCCTTGACAGGCACTCAATTCCAGCTGGATCGGGTTCAGATGGTTCAGAATATCCAAAACGCCCCATTTGCAGTCAAACAGTCGCTGCCGGATGCTTTACTGTAATCAAATCATGTGGAATGCGTCTTTGCTCGCGGTTTCGAATGCGCGAATAAGGAAAGGAGACAGATTCAAAAGTGGCTGATAAGCTAAAGGGAAGCGGGCGAGGGGCGGGCGAGGAGCAGGGCCGAGTGCCCGGCAGATGTTGCGTGGGAGCTGATGGCACTGATGCATGCAGGTAAGTGCTGCTCCGGACTGTAAATGTGCTGCACTTTGATGCTGAGCTTCCTTGTCTGGGAAGTGAAGGCTGTCTGATGCAGCAACACAGAAAAGCTTTCAAGTTTGAACCCCGCTCCATTACAGCACGGCGGCGGGTGAGACGCCTCGCCACCGCGGCAGGACGGGGACATTACGCTAATCTAATAAAGCTAATCAGTTCAGGTTGCTTCAAAAGGTACAGACGAGGTGGAAAGCTCTTTTAGACCCTGGAATAATTTAGAGAAACAGTTGGAAAGGTTTGAGCTGCTCATTCCATCCATTCCAGTGTACATTGTATTACTGCGACAACAAAGCTCCTTTTAACCAAATGGCTTGGGGGGGAGGGGGATGCTACCCAGTGTGGTTTTTAGAAAGCAGTCATTTGCATCTCAGACATGTTTGTGCACCATGCTTGGAAGGAAATTGGAAATGATGTTTCAATCTGAAAGGACAGACGGAGGGCAAGGCGTCAGTTCTCTTCTCACACACTTCCCTCTCACACACCTGCATCTGCGTCACGTAGACCGGCTTGTTGATGAGGATCCACGTGGAGGTCTCGTAGCAGGGGGGGATGGTGATGGAGCCCTCGTAGGTGATGTAGCGGGTGGTGTCAGGGTAAAGGTCGGCGATGTTCAGGCCCATTAATAGGAAGGCATCATCTGGAAAAGCAAAGTCAGTGATCTTGAAATCTGATAACAAAACTCCACCGATGATACAGAGGAAGAAGATAAATGTACAATTTGTGCTCATATGTATCTCTACTTGTACTGTCACTGCTCTAAGGACGTCTGTCAGAAGTAAGAATATCTCTTAATGACTTCATGACGTCTCTATGACACAAATACAAAACCAGCATCATATAATGGGATGTCATGGAAACAATGCCCAAGCTCAAACACCTTTTTTTCCTCCAATCGGGAGCGTGCGTTGAAAGCTTTTGGTCAATTTACAGAGCGTCCTGGCAGAGGGAGAAAGACACCGGCGCTCTGCGCATCAGCCTTTAAATCTGCATCTGCGTTTGATCCAGTAAAAGCAATGATTAGCCCCCGAACGCAGGGCTAAATAGGCTGAAGTTGAAGGAGTGCTCTCGTGTTTATTGGGAACATTGACTGTTCCTGAGTAAAATTAGAGAGGCTGACTCCTAATTTAGACACTGACTGCTGAGAGGAAGGGGGGGTGAGAGGGAAGCGGGGCTCCAGGCTGCTAGCAGGTGGCAGCAGTCTGAGGCCATTTTTTCAGACACTGTTACAACACCAGAACCCCCCCCATAGGCATCTATGGGTTTCTTTCCCCAGGTGTGCATTAGGGAAAGTAGAAAACGAATTATGCAACTCTTCATACATTTGATCTGATGTTCAGGCTCTCAACCAATAAACCATATTAGGACTGCTGTCTTTCAAGAAAAAACAGCTACCCATCACAGAATGGAGATAAGTACCAGACTGACTTCAAAACAGTGTAAAAGAGTACCTTCAAACAGGTGCACAAAATGTTTTCATAAATCGGCATACTAAAAACGTGTTATACATTTGAGAAATATGAACATAAGAATCATTGAATAGTGCCCCCTATTGGCAGCCCCACATTGTCATCATCAGACCCCTATTTCTTCTCATTTCATACTTTATTTTACATGTCTGGAGCCCAGGTATTATCGCTACAATAGATGGTTCCTCTGTTGGAGTCTGAAAGCCCTCCAGCTTGTACAAAGCGAGCAAACCTGCCAGTGTTATGTTCTTCCCTTCAGCCTGAAAAACGCAGAGGCTGTCGTGTACCTGTGTCTCATCATTAATATCTTTTGTTTTATCAGTTCTTTTATGGAAAAAAAAAACGCATTGATATCTTCAAAAGAGCAGATCACTCGGAATTTATAACAAGAATTAAGGAGAGGTCCAAACCAGACATAACACTTATTTAAAAAAAATTCAAAGAGAAGGCATGAAGATTCATGTGTTTGTCCCACAAAGGCTTGATGCTTTTTAGCTTCACTCTAACTCTGTGACTTAAAAGAACCAGGACATTTTTTTATAAAGAAAGAAGAACAGCAGAGAAAAAAAAGCAAGGAAAGATGGCCCCTGTACTTTGTACTGATGTTGGATAGTCTACAAACTGGCTCAGAGATCCAGGTTTAGCTTTGACCAGCCAAAGGATTAATATGAGAATTGTTTGCTTTTCTTAATAGAACATTCTAAATGATTTACACAATATGGATTCATTAGTAAAGAACCAATGTTGCCCTGCATATGTAATGATTTTCATTTGGGTTTGTGGTTTTATTCCACACATTTCATTTCATGAGCTCAGCTTTAGCGGCAGGGATCACATTACTCCAGTTTTAGCCTCCTATCGTTGGCTCCCAGCTGAATTCAGAGAGTCCTGATCCTCATGTAGAGATCTCTTAATGACCAAGCTCCACTATATATTGAAGAGCTCAAAATTGGGTATTTTCCCAGCAGAGTGGTTGGCTCTCAGACTGAGGGTCTATTTGTGGTTCCCCGAGTTTGTGAAAGTAGAATCAGGCCCATCTCTGTGGAACCAGCCGTTATTTTGGGTTCAGAGAGCCTTTAAGACCAGGCCTCAGACTTTCCTTTTAGACAAAGCTAACATTTTGGGATGGCTCAGGTCCCCCTGAAACATCCCAGAGTTCTGCTGCTGTAGGCTCATCCCATGATGCATTGCTCCTCCCTCGGTTCTCCTTTTGTACTCTCTCTGGGCAGGTGTCCTTGAGCTGTTGCTCTGCGTTCCCCGTCCTGTCAGTCCCCAGCTGACTGAGCCAGATGGCCCGGATCCCCAAATCAGAGGTTTTTCCTCCCCTAGCTGCTCTGTGTGGGCCAGGATGGGGATCGGGTTGAGGAGGAGATTTAGTACAATCTGTTGGTTTCCTTGACTTGGGAACTGTCTTGAATTGGATCCGTATGAATTTGACTAATATAGAGTTTAATGGACTGGAATTGATTGGACTGTATTATGATTAAATTGCAATTAATTGGATTCGAAATGACCGATTGGACCGATTTGATTTGATTTGAAATGTGTAGAGACGACTTTGTTTGTGATTTAGTACTTTAAACGTAAGTCATATATTATTTAAATTTCAGATTTATTTTCAAATATTGCGGGTTTTTTGACAGCAGACCTCACTGGAGAAGACTCCTCATTTTCTGCGTATTACGACCTAATTTCATCTGCCTCGTTGTTGTTGTGTAATTTTACAAATCTTTATGCACAACTCGACTGAAGCCTGCATCTACAAAAAACTCTGAGTATGTCTCCTCTGAAGACACAAACAAGGCGTTTTCTGCATGTGTGGTAGTGCAGCTGTTCTATGTTTAGCACCAATTAACAGGACGGGGGACTCTCCAGAGGGCTGGAAGTCTTTACCACAGAGGTTGGAAAACAGATTATGGCGATGTTTGTATGCAATTAAGAATACTTTGTTCCTGAGGGGGGGGCAGCAGAAACTGTTGTTGTGTATGTGCTGTCATGCAGTTTAGACTACACCTCCCTTCATTACCCATGAACTTTTACACTGAGAGCATCGGAAGCTGGAGAGCTACTCTAAAGTCACTTAGACTTGTTTGGGCTTAGCATTCTGCTACAAGCTCAATGGAGATGAAAGTTAAAGTTAAAAACCCAAATGTTGTCGGAGCACTTTGGGCGCTTTATGGTGTGAAGCACTCATGTGAGGATGTTTTTTGGTTCATCTTATGTCAATAATATCAATAAGGATTCATCATAAAGTCCAAAATAACTTTTGGAAAACATATATATAAGATGATATAAATATCTAAACTGCTAACTTATACAAAGGTTTGATGGTACATGAGAGCTTCTGAATTCAAGAAAGGATGCGATCCAGACTAAAGGCCAGAAGGACGGCAGTAAGGCTGGCTGACCGGTGTCAGCCGTTTCATTCAGTTTGTGATTCAGGCTGGACCAAGTGGAACCCAAAAATAACCTTTCATTTGTGTGTGTGTGTGTGTTTCTTACGTTTGTAGTTGATTCTGGTGATGGTGTCTCTATTCAGCATGCGGTTGAGGAAGGGATTAGAGTGTTCAGAGATCTGAAAGACCAAAGAGAGGGCGTCAAATATTAATCACATCCAAACAAACACAAACACGCAAACCCCGCAAAATAAAGTGGAAATACTTTACATTTACACTTTCATTTTGATAATGGAAAAACGTTTATTCAGCTGAGTTGTTTTACGTCAGCCATGTTCTTATAGGGGAAAGTTGACTCAAATCAGGTATAGACTAGGAGGTTGTTTGTTTTGGTGTCTTTGATTTTTTTAAGAACCTGAGTGTTAAGAAAAGGCTGCAAGACAGTGAACGTCAAGAAATTGGAAAGAAACATTCTGGCTTTGTTCTTTTTTTTATTACACAAGCCTGTTAGGGTTTTTATTCTATTTTATTGCAGATGCTTCTAAAATTTCAAGCCCAGAATTGATTGTTTCTACATTGTGGTGTATCCTTCCAGAAGGACACTCAAACCTTTATGAAGATGGAGACCACTGCAATGCCGTGAGGGTTCTTGGCAGCCTCGCTGTAGTTGGCGTATAGATCCTGGTTATAATGGATCAACTGGACCTGAAAGGAAGACGTCATTACGCAGGATTACAAGTGAAGCTTGAGGCTTGCACTGTTCAGTCATAAAAAGCGTCTCCATGCAATTTATTTCCTCCCCCCCTTCCCCCAACACACACACACACACACACACACACACACACACACACACACACACA